GGGGGGGGGGGCGGGCGCGGCGGGGCCAGGGGGTGGGGCCTCGAGTCCAGTGTGCGCGTGTGTTTGTTTGTATGTGTGGGTGGAGTTTTGAGGTAGTTCGGGGCTAGATTACTGTGTGGAATGTGTCGAGGGGGCATTGGAGGCATGCGATTGCTGCAGCATCGGGCCGCAGACTGCGGTCTGTGCCGACGGTCGAGGCGTGCGCATGTGCCGGCGTGTGCGCATGTGCATGACCATGCGCTGTCGCTGTCTTCGGCGAGGTGGGCTCGCCCAAAAAAACACCTCCACATCAGGCCGCCGCGTCCCCTCCCCTCTCCTAACCTTTCTCACTAATACACAGAGTTACACACACGCACACACTGATACATGCACACACATGACTACAGACAACTACACACAACCACACGCAACCTGTACACAAACGCGCAAAGCCACCCACACATTCTGCCGTCGCCCCCCACACACAGGGTGGTGGTGGGCAAGGAGTACTATGAACCCCAGGGCCTAGAGCCAGAGGTGCCCGTAGAGGCAGCCCTGGCCATGCTGCTGGCACAGAAGGTGCCCCGCACCCGCACGCCCGGCGCCATGCTGGCTTCCTCCCAGTTTCCCGCCGCCTACTTCTCTGTCGGCGGCGTCGAGCAGTGGTGGGCGGGCGGGGCGGGGCCGCGGGGGGGCGCTGCGAGAGGGGGGCCGCTCCGCGGCAGCAGGGGCCGCGGCAGCGGCGGCGGCCGTTTGGCATGGCGTGTGCACCCGTGCCTGGCGGCGCCGCGGAGGCCGCCTGCGCTCCACGCCAATCGCTGCGGCGTGGCCCAGGCCGCCGACATTTTCATACCCCTTGACAGCTGCAGCGGACCCGACTCGTCGCCCGGCCCAGCAGACATCCCCTGAGCCCCTATTCTCACTCAAGACCGCCCCCTGAACGCCCCAAAACCAACCTACACCGCCCCACCCCAACCCAAACTAAACTGCCAGGTATGGCGAGGATTTCCTGGCCATTCTGGATGACATGTCTGGGGGCCGCCTGAGGGAGGTTGGGAAGGAGCCGGATTACTGGCGGTTTAACCGCACACAGGGTGCGTGGGGGGCGGTGGGGCGGGCGCGTGGG